CTCATTTATACTAAAGGCTACTGCAGATGGCTGGGTTCGATTCTACCCTAGAACATTTTTTCCTGTATCTTTAAAGTATTACTAAATAAAATGTTTTTATATTTTATAGAGAGCTAATCTAGTTGGGATCCAGATTGGCCATTTCAAACACAAACAGGCAGGTCTGGTACAATCTAATATTTTATTTATTTTCACTCAATTTTACCAGTGAATACAGAACATTTTAAAGAGATTAAGGGAAAGACTGAGTAATAAATATAGAAATCAATTACTAGGCAGTTTGCTGCAATGATATGCAGCAGATTAATAATCGAGAAGCGATAGCTATGAGCCAACCACGAATATCCCTCTCCAACAGTTTCACTCTCGCATGCATGCAATACACACATGCTGGCATGCAAGTGCATGCTCTCTCTAATGTGCAGAACACGCACAAACACACACACTCATCCAGGCACAGGTCTGCCTCACTGCCAAGCAGACATTACAAGTACAGTAAAGAGGGCCATTCAAATGTGAAGAGTGATCAAGTTAGCGAAGTATATAAAGAGCACCTGATGTACAGTCTGATGTGTAAGTATTTACAGGCAACATGGGTGAAACACAGAACTAGAGGCCACAGAAATTCTGCTTCCAACAGGAGCCTGAAAATGGTGTTAGCCCTGGAGTTACTACAGAAAACCCCTTTAAGCTCACACTTAAATGACATCTACTTTGGATTATTGCAGGATGTTGGTCGGTATACATCAAAGCTTTGCGAAACAGTGCTGACATTTCACAATGACCTTCCAATCTGATCTGCAGAGGTGAAAAACAGCAGGAGCGAGCGACGCTGGTCAGGCGCCGAGGTGGAAACGGGGGATTTTCAACAGGGGTCGGTGAGCGTGAAAAAACCTGAGGATCCTGGCTACCTGCTGCTTCTGGCAGCACCGCAGACAAAGAGAGGGCTCAACACTTTTTTCCCTGTTTGATTGCAAACAATGAGGGGATTTGAAGCTGTTCACGACAGCCATGGCAACGGATTTTGAGTGCCAACCATCATGTGCATTTCTTTTTTAGAAGGAGGAGTCAAAAATGACCATAAAGCTGAAAATGCAAAGAGAGGTCGTTTCGAGGCACTGACTCTGGCTTTTTCTCATAAAAGTCGAACGCAGCAAAGGGACAACAAAACGAAATCGCAGCAGGTTTCATACCGCTGACATCAGCTGGCTTTTCATCAACACCTTTAGAGTCACAGACAAACTGTTCCACTGCCGAGAGACTAAGATATGGAAGGACACAGTCTGTGCTGGTCACACAAAAAGGCTTCTCTATTCTCTAATTTTCTACCACAGCCACATTCATTGAGGTTGCTACAATTGTTGCACTGATAGATAACAGTATCATGAGGTGATATGTGCAATGCATGTCCAACAGATCTGAGAAAATATTTCCCTTTTGAAGATGCAAACTCTTTGATATCCTACAGAGTAAGAAAATGCACAAAGACACAAACTGCTTTTGTGTATTTAGGTAGACGCTGCAGTGCTGTGGAAGAGCTACGTTAGGTCAAGCATGAGATGCAATAGATTCCTGCAGAAAGGCAGCTAACTGAACTAACATGTTGGTGCGCCCCACTATAAATTTGGCATCCTGGAAGCACTGAATCATGGGATTACAATCCCAATCCGAGTAAAATCTGAAAGCAAGGCATGGATGTGTTTCCCTCAAAGAGTTCAACAATGTAGGTACTTCTTTTCAACTGTTTACTGTTACACTTTGCAGGCGGCAATGGCTTAAAACCGCCAGTCACACTTTTAATATTCAGAATCCAATAAATGCTTTTGTGTAGTCCTAGTCATTGCAGGCGATTATAAATGGACTTCCATCACTGGGACATTCTAGCATCCACACGGCAGTAAAGCCAGTGATCATGCTCGAGCCAGCAATCAGGCATGTCCTGGACAATCCTCTCCATCAATCTTCTCTCAGAGGTGAGGAGTCTTTGTTACTGGTTTCCCCTCTCCTGTGTTGTTCAAAAGGTCAGCGCCACATCTGACCCACGAGGGGGTTTCCACCATGTCCCTAGACTTGCTCCCAGGTCACCGGAGGTTGAGGGCCAGGGCCACTGTAAGGACGATGCCCATGAGCATCAGAAAAGGCAGCCAGGTCTTCAGAAAGCCTGCACAGCTGGAGAGAGATGACAGGAAAACCAAGGTGAGGAAACAAGCATGCGGTGATGTACACAAATACAAATCGGGGGAATGAGCTCTTATTTTTTTTATGAGCCCCTCCCATCCCAACCACAGCCCTTATAATGACCAGCAGAAGACAAGGGACATGGCATCTTCAACCTTGTTCTTCCTGTAGCTATGGCAACAATCAGTGTAGATGATATACACATCTTTTTTTTTTGTTTAACCCTGCTGAGAGGCAAAACAAGCAGCTGGTGTGGAAAGCTAAAAAACTAAGAGAAAAATACGTTAATTAGAGCACAGACATCGCACACACTGGTGTCTGGACTTTTGGGATAAACAAGCAAAATGGAAAGTAC